AATATTTTAAGATGGCCTCATCAGGGTAAAGGCAAATTAGAGAAGGCTCAAAATAGCCTATCTCTATTCAGAACTCTAAATTGAAATATTTAACTACTGTACTTAAGGCAAAACACACTACAGAAGCAATCAGTTATAGATAAACTAAACTACTGAGATACCAGCCAAGTAAATAATACACAATTATTTACAGAATAGAATGTCTAAAACAATAATTGGATGGTACTAATGCTAATTTTATTTGGTGGTCTTAATTTGTCCTTAAAGGGGCATGCTTTATTCTACACTTGAAAATGGCCTCTTAAGTCTAAAGGAAATGTGTACTTTTCTGGAATTTTCTAGCACAATTCTTCAATTGGTTCTTAAAACTTTGACAAAACTACTGTTGAATGAATTGGAGAAGATATTTTCTCCCAATTTTAATTTAAAATTTTTCTGAGATATGGAAACTTTGCAAATAAGTTATGCTTATTATGATGCACTAGAAATACAGTTCTGCATACTAATTTCTAACTTGATCAACTGTATCATTATTGGAAAGAGAAAAATTTTACTTAACTTTGACCTTTGTCTTGCACAGACCTCTTGCTACCTCATTTGAAGGCAGACATGGCAGTGTCCGCTATTGGGTGAAAGCTGAATTGCATAGGCCTTGGCTTCTACCAGTAAAATTAAAGAAGGAATTTACAGTCTTTGAACATATAGATATCAACACTCCTTCATTACTGGTAAGAACTGACAGAAAGACTAATACTTTTTCTGGCATAAAAATAATGAAGTAGAATAACTGAAATAACATCAACATGTAATTTTACCTCATTTTTATTTGCTAGTTTAACTACAGTTGTTCCTTTAAGTATTATATCAGTATAGCAATTCTAACTGATGGTATTTTGAAGGCTAAGTTATCCTATAGTTGGAGTTGCTTGACTTTTACGGTACATAAAATGCATTTGTCAACCTAAATAGATACTACTAAATTCTAAAATCTCATTAAGGAAGAAAATTTGGTGAAACTGTTCCTCTTCAGTTATAAATAAAGAATATTTTATGGAAGGAACAATGCAACTCAATGTTTTAGTGAGTGATAAAAATGCAGAATAAAAGGTTTACTGCAATGCATAATTGATAATTTCCCTATGGATAGTTTCTGCTGATGGAGAGAAATTATCACAATTCTGTATAATTCTTTCCTGAAATTTCATTTTAATAACTTTTAATATCACAACTGCTTTCAATGAGGGTTTGACTTATGTCTCAAGCCCTAAATCCTGATGTTGTGTAAAATAAGTCTTTTTAATATAAATGAAACAGGATCACGCAAACTGAGGAAAAAGCAAGAGTCAAGGTTACAGTAGATTAGCTTAGTTATTTTGTTTCTGAAATACAGCTTAATGTGAAGTGTGAAGATATTCTAATTTACTGTTAGTTAAATGAAAAGCTTTTCAACAGTATGTTGGGATGTGTAAGTTATGAAGGCTTTTGTTTTAAGTGATACAGTATTTTTAATATTAAAAGCTGGTTTAAGTATGGCTGTAGTATGGAAGATGGCAAAAAAACCAATACTAATACAGCAATGGAATTAGGACAAATTGTATCTGTATAATGTTTAAATTGCTCGAGACTTTTCCTATGAAAGTAGCTTTGTTTATGAAAATATGTAATAATAAGCACATTATGAAAATTATTATTTTCCTGTGTTGATTTAAATACCTGAAGAGATTCATGGAGCTCCTTATTTAATTGACAATATTTTTCTTCTAGTCACCCCAAGCAGGCACGAAAGAAAAGACTCTATGTTGTTGGCTTTGTACCTCAGGCCCAATATCCTTAAGTGCCAAAATTGAAAGAAAGGGCTACACCCCAGGTATGTAATAGAAGCAATTATAGGATATGTTTTTCCTTCCCTTTTAAAGATAGAGTTTGTACTTACTGTTTTTATATAAATGAAATATTATGGATATATTTACCACCTCAGTCTCATTTAGCAGTCTTCTCTGTATACTCTGTTAAATCATAGAATCACAGACTGGTTTGGGTTGGAAGGGACCTTAAAGATCATCCAGTTCCAACCCCCCTGCCATGGGCAGGGACACCTTGCACTAGACCAGGTTGCTCAAAGCCTCGCATTACTTGTATCTCAAGATTATGAAAGGACCTGTTCCTTTGTTTTGGGTTTTTTGGTGGTGGGTTTTGGTGGTGTGTTGGGTGGTTTTTTTTGTTTGTTTGTTGTTGTGGTTGTTGGGTTTTTTGTTGTGTTTTTTTTTTTTTCCTTTTTTTAGAACAGATCACAGGGATCTTGCTTCTATTAGCATCAGCGGACATTTTTCCAGGTAGAGCAGTGATAGCAGCATCTGGTGCTTTAAGGAAACTGTCACATTCTGTATACTGTTATAAACTGCCTTGTAAATTTAAAGAGAACTTGAAATTCTGTTGTTTGGGGTTTTTTGATGTGCATTGTTTGTGTGGTGGTTTGGTTTTTGTTTTGTGTTTTTGTTTGTTTGTTTTGTTGTTTGTTGGTTTTGTTTTTTTCCCCCCCCCCAGGTGAATCAATTCAGATCTTTGCTGAGATTGAGAATTGCTCTTCCCGTATGGTGGTGCCAAAGGCAACCATTTACCAAACACAGGCATTCTATGCCAAAGGGAAAATGAAGGAAGTCAAACAGCTTGTTGCCAACCTCCGTGGGGAATCCTTGTCCTCTGGCAAAACAGAAACCTGGAATGGCAAACATTTGAAAATTCCACCTGTTTCCCCTTCAATCCTTGACTGTAGTATAATCCGTGTGGAGTATTCACTGATGGTATGTTGGGCAGTGTTTCACTCTTGAGAATGAGTAGCTTCCAACATTCCATACAAATTTGTAGCGCAGCATTTTTTGATAATTAGTTATTAAAGAAATACACGTGCTGGTATTATTGTTCTGACAGGAGATCTGGTAAGTAAATTTAGTTTAAGTCATGCAAGTTCTTAAAACAGTTGTGTGTCAAATAAGGAAGTATTTAATAAGTAGACTGTGTTTCCATGTGAAGGTTCATGTTAAGACTCTTTAAGTACTTATGACTCCATAGAGGTATGGGCCTTGAAAGAGACTATTAGAAACAAGCTCCTCATGGAAAGTTCCATAGAAAGACAACTTAGACTAATACTTATGAAGTGTTGATACAACCCCACACTTCAATTATATGCTTTTTTCTTTTTTCTTCAGGTATATGTTGATATTCCAGGAGCCATGGATTTATTCATTAACTTACCACTGGTCATTGGTACCATTCCTCTACATCCATTTAGTAGCAGAACATCAAGTGTGAGCAGCCAGGGTAGCATGAACATGAATTGGCTTGGGCTGACACCACCTGAAAGACCAGAAGGTAACTTGACAATACAAATCCCAATCAATTTGCTAGTCTGTTTTGATTTTTTGTCTGCTTTATTCACTGCAGTCTTGCTAACAGAGTCAAATTACATCCTTTCATAATAAAGCCTGAAGGAAATCTGTTGTGGATGTTTTCTTGCCACCTGCTTGTCCTATGCAGAACAAAAGAGTTTCTTCCCTCCCTGTCCCTTTTTTTCTAGGACAGGCAGTAAAATCCAGGTGCCTTGGAAGGCGGCAGAAATGAAAGCACAGGATGCCATTGTATCTATGCACTACTTCATTATTTCCACCTCCAGTATCCCAACTGCAACCTGTAACAGCAGTTTCTGGCGTCTCTCACCTGTCTTAGTAGCCAAGGCTTTGTGAGAAGATAATATTCTTTTCTATGGGAAATCTTTTATGGCAAAAGAAAGAATCATGTATTTCCTTCCTTCTGTTTTCACGTATCAAAATCCTGGGTTTTTTTAAGTGCAAATCCCAGACCCGGAGACTTCTGAAGTCCAGAGGATTGCAAAGTTCTGTCATTCCTACTTGAACAGAAATAATTTGTCTTTGGTATGCCTTACATTTTAAAGGGGGTAATTAAGCCACAATAAACAGTGGTCAGTCTGGTTTTGAAAATAAGGTTAGTATTAGAATAAAGTGAAATAGTCTAGTCTCCCTCATTTTGCTTAACAAATTTTTTGAAGTCACTTGCCTGCTGGTGAATCTTAGTGGTTAAAGTTTTATATCTATCATGTTATATATTTTGACATGCATAAGAACTTGTTGTTTGAACTGCATGTACTTTCTCCCTTCAGCACCTCCTAGCTATGCAGAAGTGGTCACAGAGGAAAACAGACAGTTCACCCTTGCGCCTATAGCTGCTTTTGATGATTTTGAGAGAGCACTTCAAGGACCATTATTTGCATACATCCAGGAATTCCGTTTTCTGCCTCCACCCCTATATTCAGAAGTAGGTATATCTGTAAGAATTCATGTATTGCTTGTCTGCTTTTTTTTGTTTGTTTGTTTTTTGTCTTGTGAAATAAGTTTAGGAAGCTGTTTCTTCTTCCTAAAGCTAGGAGAAACAATTAAAATGAAGAACATGGAATAAGTTGTTTCTGGGGAGGATTTCTGTTTGTTTGTAAGATGCAGATAAATTGCATCAAGAGTCTTCTATGCCTGTTTTATAGCATGGGTTACCCTTTTATTTATTTATTCTCTTTTTATTTTTAACATGCACTCTGCAACCCTAAATTTCAAAGGTGCTCTGTGAGGTGCCTTGGCTTTTCTATCATGCTATTTCCTGGAGCTGCAGACCTGGAAGGTAATTTTCCTTGGCAGCACTCTTCCCCAGTCCAATACTTTCAGTGTTTACTATTTTAGCAACATGATTTTTTTTTTTAAAATTTGTGTAAAAATAAGCTTTCAAGTCTTTCACCTCTACTGCTTTTTAACATTTTATAGCAACCACTAAACTGTTTTTGCCTGCATGTGTATTTAAGTTCTGTGAATGTAGGGTTTTCAGAAGCTTTATGTAGAAAAGTGACATACTGGCATTCATTTCTGACTTAAGTTTTCTGAAGTACAGCATTCTTCAAGACTTTTGGCCTTTACAGATCTAAAAATGAAGCCACCGAATAACCATGAATGAGATACAAATTTTAAAGCTTTTCATGTTTACATTTTTCAAGAAAAAGCAGTGATATGGGACAAAAGAAAAAAATGTGTTCTCTGACCAAATCTTGTCTGAATTCACCCACTTTAGGAAAATAGCATTATGTAGCACGATCTCCCCCGTCCTTGAAACACTACTGTGCTAATGAGTGGGCAGAAGGGTGTTTTTTGTGTTAGACACTTTCCTGAGAACTCTGCTATATCTTAACTCTAAAGCACAACTCCTGAGTCCTTTTCATTTTAGGTACTTTAAGATTTAGAAAGAAGCATTTTTTTTTTTTAATGAAGTTTACTGATGCAATGTTGGCTAAAAGATGCACTGTACACTAAAACTATTTTTACCATTCAGTTTTTGAGACCTCAGTTAGCAGTCTGTACCCCTTCTTTCTCCTATGGAAAGGAAGAAGAAGTAAGGTTTAGAACACATGAACTTTTGAAACATCCCATAGGATATTTGAGGGTTAACTACTTTTTAAATTAGAATTTTTGTTTTTTATTGATAACTTTCTGCCTTTTCAAGCAAAACTTTTCTAGTTCTCTCAAATCAATTAAATATTTCTAAAATTACATTTCTAGTGATATGTGTCAGGTCATCCTTTTTTTGTATATATCAGATAAAATATTTCTGCTTTAATAGCACAGAAGTATTTTGAATTAAGTGTTATGTTAGTTATTCATGCTTATCCTTAACTTACTGTGAACCTGTAGTTTAAAGTTTTCCATTGTATCTAATATTTCTCTTAATTTTTATTCAAAGTTTTGTCTGACTAGAAGTTTTTCTGTTATTTCAATAACCTTTGGACTGGGAATGCCATATATGTTTATAAATCTCTTGTGAATTTTGTTTTTTATGTCTAGCAGTTGATTCTAAAATGCACTGGGTTGTAGCTTTTTTTTGTTTGGATGGTTTGTGTTTTGGTTTGTTGGGTGTGTTGTTTTGTTGGATGTCTTGGTTTTGGGGTGGTTTGTTGTGGTGTTTAGTCGTTGGTTTTGGTTTGTGCCTTTTTTTTGTGGTGGGTATGTGGGTGGTGGGTTTTTTTTTTTTGGTGAATGGGGTGTTTTGTTTGTTTTCTGTTTTTCCTTTTGGTTAGATTGATCTAAACCCAGATCAACTAACAGATGAGATACCATCTTGCCCCTCTTGTTGAAGGAATCCATAAAAAGCTGACTTGACTTGGGTTTTGAATCATACCTGCTGTGTTGAAGATCAGGGTGTCATAGTGGAGACTTGCTTTTAAAGGAAATGGCATTGCTCTTGCCTGTATGATGAATAAATGAAAACAACCTGTGATCATGCTTTGACACCTACAGCACTGCTCCACATATTGAAAGCCTGAGGCTCCCCTCCCTTATAGTGGTACATACTAGGAGTGGTCTTACTAGCATATAGTCACATGTTTCAAAATACTCAAACCATGCTCTGAGAGAGGAATGGCTGCTTCTTATGATTTGAAAATTTGCACATGCTTATGTTATGCAGTTCAGTGTCACTACAGCTTTTTCTCATTTATGATGGACTGTTTTTACCACCACCACCCTTAATTGTGATCTGCACAACAAGGAGCAAAAGAAAGCTTTGACAAAACAAAAAAAAGCAGTGAAGACTGACAAATGCACTGACTTTATTTTACATTTAATGTAGCCTGGACTTTACCTGCATATGCACATGCTCAGAATTGTCCTAGTAGGCTGATCATGTATCACCTCTTCAGCTTGGATCCTGTTGTGGATTTATTTACAAACATCACATGCCTTCAAGCCAATCCTTCTTGCTGTATGATTTGCAGCCAACTGTAGTAGACAAGCAACAGATATGTGGGGGAAGAGATAACAGAAGGAAACTACTAAGAGACTTTGTCAAGATTGTGTAACTTCTCGATTTCTTTTAAGAATTTGTTGCCTTTCTGCTATTATCGCAAAGCAATGTTTTGTTACAGACTGCCTAAAGATAACTTAATCTCAGGTGAACTCATCACTTGCCAGACTGTTGGAATGCTATTTGTTTTGTTACATTGCACTGTTAAGTTTTTTTGGTTTGGTTTGGTTTTGTTCTTTGAGTGGGATTTTGAATAGGGACATACGCAAAACTTAGAAAGTGAAAGCAACACCAGCAGACACCAGCAAAGTGTGAAAAGAACTTTAAAAGGGGATAGTCATATGGTGTCCAGCGTTCATAGGCAGAGAGATATCTCAACTAGTAGGCATGGAAGGTTGGTTTGGGTTTGTTTGTTTGTTTGCTGTTTTGTTTTGGGTTGGGTTTTCTTGTGGTGTGTGGGTTTGGTTTTTTTTTTTTAATAATATGTAGTTACTTAATCACCAAAAACTACATATATAAAATGAGTCTCCAGTATAAAGTTTATTTCAGAGTACAAGAAGAGTTTGAACTCTGGCCACTAAGCAACAGCTCAGTTTGTGCACTTTGTGTTATCTTCAGGGTTTATGATCTGTATCATATAATACCAGGTTGGAAGGGACCTCAAGGATCATCTGGTTCAAACTTTCTTGTCAAAAGCAGGGTCAAGACAAGAAGGCCCAGTACCCTGTCCAGCCAAATCTTAAGTGTCTGATGTTGGGGAATCTACTGCTTCCACGGGGAGATTATTCCAATGGATGATTGTTCTCATTGTGTCCCAGAATCTCCCCAGGAGTAACTTATACCTATTACCCCTCATCTTTTCCATGTGACTCCTTGTAAAAAGGAGTCTCCATCTTCTTTGTAGCTACCCTTTAAATACTGGAAGATGGTAATAAGGTTTTCCCTAAGCCTCCTTTTCTCAAGGCTGAACAAACCCAGGTCTCTCAGCCTTTCCTCATATGGCAGGTTTCCCTGTCCTTTGATCATTTTTGTAGCTCTTCTCTAGACCCTTGCTAGCCTGGCTACATCTTTTTTTGTATATCAGGGACCAAAACTGAACACAGTATTCCAGGTGTGGCCTGACAAGTGCTGAGTAGAGTGGGATGATGACTTCTTTATCTCTGTTGGTGATGCTCTTTTTGATGCAACCCAGCATTCTGTTGGCTTTCTTCCCCCCCAGCCACTGGTCACTCATATTGAGCTTGTTGTCCATCAGGACCCTCAGGTCCCTTTCCACAAAGCTACTCTCCAGCCAGGTAGATGCCAGCCTGTACTGCACTCCTGAATTATGTTTTTCCTAGTGCAAGACCTTACATTTGTCTTTG